AGGTTGACGAGGCCTCAGAATCTGCACTTTATCTATAGGAAAACTAGTTACAGTGCTATTTGGCAACGACCTTTGGCGAGGGAATGTTACGGGTCGAAAGAAAGGGTAAAGGGATAGGGTTGGGTACGGGAGACAAAGGTTGGCATATTTGACCGCCCTCCTCATCGGAACGCAGGCTTTTCTCTCATTCAGCACTTTCATAGTTTGGTGCAATTTAGGTAGTGTTGGATGAATCCGATAGCCTTGTCAAAAGTTCAGTTTGAGATCGGCAATATGTCAACACTGTCGATAAAAACCATTAGCCCGAAAAGTATACCGAATCTGATCATACATGACTGTTGCATCCGAACGTGTTCTTTGGCTTGGTTTTCCGGTAACCAAAAGCCTTCATTTATGCATGTGCAAACTTCCACAATTCAGTACACGTTATGTTATCTCCAATGTCGTGCCACATCGCCAAACTGCGAATTTCGGCTCCTTATTTGTGCTATCCCATTTCCTCTAATTATTGGCCTCAGTTTGTCTGTCGTCCACCAGTAAATTTTTCCGCTCATTTAACATTCACTGTTCGTGTAGCCCGCCCGCAGGGCGTCGTTAAAACAAATGTCAGGGTGCACCTCAGAAAGTGTGTGTGTATGACGGGTAGGGGAGAGGATGGAAGGGCTGGAGTAAAACAAACAGAACAATCTTTGTTAATCTCTGTCATCTGTTTCTCTCCATTTGGATTTTCATGGAATTCGCGTGGATGTCATGCTCGTTCTCAAACGAGGGCAAATGTTTCGAGAAAAGGCGTATACAATCTGCTGTGTGTACAAATGGAACTGCTTGTTCATTTATCGGTCATCCAGGGTGCTTGCCTTCTGCCCGTGAGATCTCGATCGGCAGTTGGATAAATGGATTCGCACAGCAAGATTGAAACAGCTGTACCGAATGCTACTCAGCTTTTCATGTTCCTGTTTCCTTTGTTCTATATGCGTCAAAATTCATCACCTGATCACCTCACCTCATTACACAATCTAGTGTAGCAAACCAAAGTTGTTAAACCCCTTCACCTTAGTGTGAATCACTCTGCTCGTAGTGCCAGAGTTTGTTGTGATATCATTTCTCCACTAACGTTGCATTCAGTTGCGTAGGTCATGTCGGGTTTCCCAGTTGGGGGACATCTAGCCTGATCGCGGACCACAGATGATGTGTTTCTGTGATGAAAAACGTTTTCGTTCACCTACTCATTTTTGCTCGTCTATTCTGTACGCTCGTCTTTGATCTATTCTTATTATTTTGTTTGTTAAATGTTTGGATCCGGTAAAATCGCAAACCTGATAGTGGTTAGCTGATTTCCTTTGATTGTAATTTACCGTACGATGATGATGCTGATGGTGGTACTGAAGCTATATCCTGAGTACCTCAGTTTGATCGGAGTCGGATGTCTTGGGTTGTGTCTGGTCATTCTTCATTATGTGTCCAAGTGTTTCAAAAAAACCTCTTCTAAGGAGACCCTATTCACTACTGTCTTCATTTAGGGGAATCGCCTAAAACCCCTGGTTTAACCCCGAACAAGAACAGGCGTACGAAACAACACACACACACATCTGTTAGTAGCATGATCCACCTGCCCGATTGGTCACCTGGTCGTGTAATTCGACCAAAGACGCATGGTTGGATAAACTGGACACCGGCTCCAAGTGGACTGTGGTTGTTACACACCGTTCACCGCCTTGTGTATCAGGCGCATGGACGCCGCTTGCGACTTATTACAGCGCACACTGTACCAGCTGAGCTACGAGACCATTGATCTGTTTACAATCGAATCACCCATACAACTTACAAATGCCTAAGGCATCTACCAGGTAGCATGTAAACAGCTTCCCTTCAGAATTCACCGGAGTCCATCGAGTAAACTTCCGAAGCAATGTTAATTGCTCTAGTGGTTGTTTCGCAGATTGAAATCTTATGTTGAAAATGGGAAAAGTTCAGTTGCCCCGAAGGGATTCGGATCCACACATGGATTCAAATGTAAAAAGATCACTGCTCTGTCGGTGTAATCTCGTAACTCAGCTGGTGGAGCGTGCGCTGTACAAAAGCGTAGACGGTGTCCATACTTGGGTTTGAATCCCACCGAGGATACACTGAACTTTTTACAATTTTAATTACAATAATTGTATGCCAGTCTGGGGTTGGCTTGTTATGGCAGTTCGTGTATTGCTTTCTACTTTTCTTGTACGTTCCTGCATTTGCGAATTCGTTACGTTTTCCCCCAACACTTATTTGTTACCATCAACTGGCTAGTTGTACGTGGGCTAGTCAAAGTCGCAGTACTAATTGGCACCCTGTCTCCATTTTCCGCCATTTGTTTATTTTTTCGTTCCATTGTGTGATACGTGGTTTCTAACTGGGAAAGCCTTAAGGCCACTGCCTTACCGAGGCTATCGGCTACAGAATCCAGTCAAATGTAGGAGCGAGATTGAACCAAGAGAGAAAGAGAGAGAGAGAACTATCGTAATTCGAATGAATACAAAATATTCCGAACTTTTAAACATGCGGTTTTATGTTTATTTTTTGACCAACTCATTGAAAAATTTAATTGTTGGTGCTTCGCAGCATTTTATCAAAAAAAAATTTCATTTATTTTCCAGCGTTAACTTGAACAGCGCCGAGGGTGGTGTATTGAGCAAGGGCACTTTCGGCAGCGGGAATGTGCGCAGCACGGTCGAATTGGGCGGTTCCAGCGGTTCCACCGGGAACGAGGGTGGTGGTCGCCAAGGTGGTTGTGCGTGCTAATACTGGATTGCTGACTCATCCTTTCTCTCNTCTCTCTCTCTCGCGCACACACACACACGCTCTCTCTATCTCTCACCCTGGACCACCTCCTCCTTGGACGGGGCTAGTAGGCGAACCTTCTTGGTCAACGTTGATTGCTAACGCCAACACTAGCAATGGTACTGCGCTCCGTAGGTTCGCAATTTGTCTAATGCATTCATACGGCTGCCTCATTCCTTGGCCCGCTCTACTCTCACTTCTCCACGCTCATGCGCCCATGTCCTCAAAGTTAGGTTACGCACGCGGACGGTGTCCCCAATCCCCAGTCATTTCCCGCCCACGTCTCTCTCTCTCATCTGTCTGTGTTGTCCTGTATGTTTCCGGGTACACAGCATGCCGTGAATTAACCAATCATCTGTACGTACTATTACTACTACTACTACTACCAATGTGATCTGCCGCAATGATCAACCGTGTTGCGGTGTTCGCTGTACATGGCTTTGTCTACGATACTCAGACCGTCCCTCCCCGCCGCACCCACCCATCCCGTATATGATGCAGTCTGTTTATCTCATCTCCGAATAGTCCCTGTGATCGTGCTTGTTTGCTGCTTTTGTTCTCCTCGCTTTGTCTATTTTTTTTTGTCTCTATTTCTCACACACACACACACCCATCTGCCCCACGTGTGGTCTGATCTATGGGAATGGAGCAAGTGCAGTGTGCTCGCGTGCGTGCGTCCACGCTCACCCGATTTGACACTCGGTATAGATTACTTGTGGGCACGGTTCTCCACATATCATCCGTCTATACAAATCCCTTTTATCAAGCACGACTTGATCTGATTTCATTTGCCGAGTGTGGTCCTCCTCCGGTTGACCGCCGTCCATTCTTTTTCTCGCTTGCGCTCGCGTTGAAGTCGCTAGAGATTTCACCGGTAACTTCGCCCTGCGTCAAATATGGGCTATGCATTCCCTGTCCACCAATTTCTCTGTTGTCTGCCCGGTTGGTTGTTCCAAATTGATCCACCCTATCCCCCCCCCCAGCTACTGACTACGCTCTTTCACTTCACCCAAAAGCTCTGCACATGCCCCTAATCTATCTGTCTGTCTGTGAATTGATTGCATTGATTCGTTGCCATCTGGTGCTCTTACCATCCGCGTCTTTGATGAGACAGTGGCAGTGATCATTTCACCCATTGTGATCAACCCCCGATCCGTCCGTGTGTGTTTGTAATGCGTACTTGTGTTGTTGGTGTGTACATGAGAACTTGTCCCGTTTGCGCAACTGTGTTTTTTCCTCATCTTCTCAGACGGGGACTCTCGCTCTTTGCCGCCCACTTTATGTTCTCGCAAGTCTCCCCCCTTCCGTGGACACGTAACTAGTACTAGGCCCACAGTGGCTGTGATATCATTCCTGCGTTGGCCATCACACCGGTCCACTCGAATAAAGAATTCTCATGCCTTTCTCT